TAATTATTTTTTATATAATATTTTTTAACTTTTACCATGTAATATTTTTTAAATTACTTTTTCAATAAAATTTTCTTAATAAATTCGTACTCTAACCCAAAAAAAAAAAAAAAAGGCCCTCAGCGAAAGAAAGAGAAACAAAAGAGAGCCATAAAAAGAAACTATTTATTTCTTTTTTTGAAAAGATCAGAAATCGGCTTTACTCGGTTATCCGTAACCTTTCAACTTTCTCGCCACGTGGCATCTTTTAAATGGGAAAATGTCCAAGCGAGTGCTAAGGGGCAGTATCCCTAGCACTGCTCTTGCTGAAATCCTTTGATTCTGGGCGGGCCGGGTGGCCGCACACAGGAGGGCAGGGCAGGGCAGGGCAGGGCCGGTCAGCCGCAGACCCCCCATCACCCCTTCGACAACCCCAAAACCGGAGAGTCTCTCTTCTCCGTCATCCTCTTTTCCTCTCTCAGACATCTCTTCTCTTACGGACCATCCGCCACCCAAACTGATCTGACCCTCTGCAACAGTAAACGCCCCAAAGGGCTGCCGTTCCCATCTGCGTCCTCTTCTCGGCTCCTTTCTTCTTCTTTGCTGGTCCACCTCTTCAGCCACCCTCTACCTTAGCCGCAAGCGGTGAAAATCAGAGAAAACATAAAGGAGAGGAACTCGAAGGTAAGAGCTTAGACGAAGGCCAAACGGCCATCGCATGGTAAAGACCAAGCTCGAGCAAGCTAGCAGGATCTGATTTGAAGCCGATTAAAAACCTGGAGGGATCAGCCGGAAGATCAAAGACCACCAGAAAACGAAACCTTGGGAATGCAGATCACGTAGCAAGAAAGAGGAGTCAGGTAACAAATAAATCTGGTTTCGTTAAATGTCAATTTTGATTCCTCATCTTGTTTTGTACAGTTTTCGTGTTACTCAATTTTTTTATCCATTTTTTAGTCCACTGAAAAATGCACTTCTATTTCTAGTCGTTTTGTACAGTTTTTCGTGTTACTCAACTTTTTATACATCTTTTACAGCACTAAAAAATGCAACTTTGTTTTAGCTCGTTCTCTCAGTTAATCCATAAATTTAGTTTTACATATATGTATATATATATTTGGTTTTTAAATTTGTAAGTGATTGTATAAAAAATATGAAATTAAAAATATGTATATTTAAATGTTAAGTTTGTCTACATATATTAAGAGACGAAAATTATGTATATATTATAAATTGAGAAACTATATATGTATATGTAAATAAATTTTAACAACCGAATCGAAGGGCTAAAATAAAGTATTTTCATAATTGAAGGATTTCGAAAAAAATATATAAAAAAATTGAAGAAGGAATACTGTACAAAATCTTAAGATTGAAAAACTAAAATTGAGAGTTGGCTTTTACTCTTTGTTTATTGGCCTTTATATATATATATATATGCAGGTTGGTTGATTTTTGAAGTTGCTTGAGTTGAACCTGGAAAATGTTTGGGTTTGAGATTCTGAGAGAAATAATTGATCCCAAATTGATTGCCTGAATGTTAGTTTTGTTCTTTGTCAGAACTGTCCGCATTAGCTTTGAATTCAAAATCAAATCTATTAGTGGTCAATTGTAACATATTTGCTACTTGTGTTTTAGACCTTGGGATGTATACAGATGAGCTGATTTATAATTTGTTAAAACAAGAAATAGAAAGAGAAATGCTAAGGACGCTAAAAGACTTTTCTTTTAGACACTCTTCAGACTTGACAAATAAGTCGAATTGAGTAGGTTTAAATTGGGTCGTATTAGATTTTGTATTTTTTAGTTAGGTTATTTCAGATGTCAAATTCAAGAGATAGGTCCATGATCCACTCACATAAGTCTTGGATTGTGTAGGATGAATCTAACTTTTAAAAAAATTAAAATTAAAATTAAAATTTTTTAATATTTTCTCTATTTTCCTTTAATAAAGTCTAACATTAATTACCTATTTGGTAAAAAAATCCATTAGACAAATATTAACTCTAATTTTCATTTCATGATTCAATTTTCATTCCAATCTCATGAAAAGAAGAGGGCAAGAAGGATCAAAACTACTTATTACATTGTGGAACAAAATACATGTCAAAAATATAATGCTTATACAATATTTAAAATTCATAAAAGCATTAACCTTTATGAGAAGAACAGACAAGAAGGATTAGAGTTCAAAAGGCAAAACCAAAATATATGTCAATATTTAGTACTATTCAATATTGAAAAAGGCATTATACAAAAACTACAGCCCTGTTGCCTATTAACAAAGTCAAGAACTAAATCCTCTTTGATTTGCAAGTCTTATGGTTATGTCAATGCTAACATCAAATTGAAACCCCAATCCTTGTCATTCCATCTTCTTCTAGAACCCCAATTGCATCAACTAGTTCATGTTATTAAGAAATTAAATGCAATCAACATAGTGAATATTAGAAAAATATATATAAATATACATACATTATATATATATATATGAAATAGAATAAAAATAAAGAATGTACATTACCTCCAGTTAACCAACTCCAAGTTGTTATCAAAGCTTCTCCATTCTCAAGTGTTAGACTATCTCTAAACTTTAGCAAAGGCCATCTTATTTTCCTTTCTACATTAAGTTTGAATTTTCTCATCCTTCCGCATCCATCCTTATCAAGAATCTGTTGTAGCTACAAAAACCATATTTCACCATGAAAAAATAGCACAAGAATTTTTGAAAACATCAGAATATGATATTCTTAAAACCAAATAAACAAATTGATCAAATAGTCACTTTTCCAACAAGAAGGAAAATTGACAGCACCATGAGAGGCATTTCTTGTAGCTTCAACAGCCTTGTCCTCATTGTGTTAATATTCATTTTAAAGGCTTTCCAAACAATTTTTGACATTCTCATACTTTGTCAGATATGTTGTCTCATCCAATTTTCATGAAACAATACTTTACATAATCCAATTTGAATTGAGGATCAAGAATTATAGCAAAAGCAAGCACCAAACTATAGCAATCCCAATACTTATCAAATTTAATCTTCATATTTTTTGCCATTGCCCTCACACATGGATCAGGACTTCCATCTTTGCTCAGAAAGTCAATTCAATAGCCCAAACATGTTGGAAATACAAGTTTGCTCTTGGATTTTGGGAACTAGAAAAAAGAGTGGTTTTCTCACTAAATGGTTCCAAAAGTTGACAAATACATTCCACTCTAATCCATTCATTAGGTTCCAAGGACCAAACATAATTCCTATTCTCTAATGCAAAGTTAATAAAGGCTTGTCAATATAAAAGTGCCCTTTCCAGCATTGTGTGAGTAGAATTCCATCTAGTTGGGCAATCTAACCACAAGCCTTTACTCATATTACAACCCACATGCTTTGCACAATCTTGAAAACTTATCTTTCTTCCCTTAACTTTTAGCACTCTCATCAATCACTTTTAGACCTTCTTGGACAATCAAATTTAACACATAAGCACAACAACGAACATGGGAAAAATCCTCATTGCAAGGTAATAGATATTCCAAATTCTGGGTATTGCACAAAAGATTTTGCATATTGTCATTACTCCTTACATTATCTGAAGTGATAGAAAATATTTTATTCTAAGTACCCCACCTTTGAAGCAATCAAAAACAGTATCATACAAAATCCTAGATGTATGTGGGGGGACATGAAAAAGGCTCAAAATCCCACTTTGCAAAATTCAATTCTCATTTATATAATGAGCAGTGAGACAAAGATAACCTTGAGTTATTGCTAAAGTCTACATATCACAAGTCAAACAAATTCTGCCCTAAAAATTTTGCAAACATTTCTTTATCCTATCTTTCTCCCTTTTGTGTATTTTCAAGCAATAATTCTTCAGAGTGTTCCTACAAATTTCTTTTGCTTCAACATTTAAGTATGCAAAGAAGTTTTCTAACATGCTCGTGCTCAGCCCAAGAAAAAGGATATGCTTGGTGAATAATAATCAATGCCATCAACTCCTTATACATTCTAAATCTAGCTTTTGTTCACTCAATTTTCCAGAATTGTCAATCAACATTTGTAAAGGATTGCTAGAAGCATACTCTCAGGACATTTCAAAAGATACTCTTTCAAATTTTTTGTCTCATACAAGAGGGTGGAGCTATATGGGTAGTGCCACAATGTTTGCATACGGCTCTATCTTTTCTGTCAATATAATTTTTAGCCAAAATGATGTCAAAGTCTTTCAAATCTGTGAAATTTTCCTTCTCTTCAACTCAAGTTCAATAGTAACTTCAAATTCTAGTTTAAAAACATTAGATTTGAACCAAAAAAAAATTATCAATTAAAAAAAAAGCACACGAAGAAACATGGTTGGGATAAAAAAAACATAAATTATCAATTAAAAAAAGAAGAAGAAGAAGAAGAAGAAACTGAATTGAGATAGATTTTTATCATCTAAGGACAAAGTATCAACTAAGAACAAATTAGCAATTAGGAAGTAACCTTGATGTTTTTGTGCTTGTGCTTTTGATGGTGATAAGGGTACCTCAAACATTGGATTTTGATTTTCAATAGCCATATTCTTTTGTTTCTTATTGTAAAAAAGGATCTTCTTCTCGATGCTGCATGATGTGACTCACTTGATGCCACCTAATCTAGTTTGTGATGTAGGTGCCACCAAAGAGAAGGATCAAAGAGCCTCAGATGAAGAAAGAGAGAGGGAGAGTGGAGAAGAGGAAGAGTTAAGAGAAAGTGATACTAGTGGGAAGGTTAGGATTTGAGTATTTTATTTATTTCTACTTGAATTAGAAATTTAAAATTAATTTTTAAGTCATCTCATGAAAAATGAATAAAAAGTTAGGGTAATTTCGGGTAAACCCAACCCACCCATAACCTAACCCATTTGGGTTCAAATAATTTTAGTCTGGATCATTTCAAATTTTAAGTTAACACATAAGACCCATAACTCAACCCATAGTGAATGGGTTAGGTCAGATTTTTGGATCAGGTCCAATTTTGTTAGGTCGAACAGTCTCAATGACATAAATCTTATGTGATTGGTTATAAGTTTCAATTTTAAAAATATTAATTTTAATAGCAATCACTAATCACCAATTATATTAAATTTTTATTCCATTAGACCCAATTACATGAAGAGGATTCAAAAAAGAATAATAGAGAGAGTGTCCCTAGCACTTCTAAGTTAAGAATGACAAGAAAGTAAGCTAGAAAACAGTATGGTTAATGGAATAGATTGCTTACTTTATTTTGTTTTCTTTATTATTCACATTCTCTTGGCTGTGGTTATGGCTACACTCAAATTTGTTAGGACCCCACAATTTAATTGTTATTTTATTAGTTTATAATTTTTTCCAAATAGTGAATTATGATGTTTGGAAATATCTATTTATAAATTAATTTAATTTGTTAAATAATAAACATCAATTGTTTTATTATCTATTAAATGTTTTTAATAGCCAAATAAAGATAAAAACTTAGCAATATGTGTAATCCTAACAAATTCAAAGGTGTTAATAACGACCACCCAACTCTTGCTAACCAATTATTATTCTTAATAGAATAGATACCCTAGTCCAAAAGTGTTTAATAATTATATTTTTGATAATTATACCTTATCTTGTGCCCAAAGGGTATAGGATATATGAACAACTTTGGTATGAGCATCACTATTGGATTTACCGTATGTTTGTATTGAGGGGAATCGTGGGGAGGGGAACGAAAAGGTGCTGCATCTTTCCATTTCTCTGCCCTCATTTGGATAATTAAAAAAATTAAAATTGGTAAAGAAAAGAAAAGATAAGGATTTTTTAGGAAATAGTCAATAAATTACAAGAAAAAAAAAAGCAAATTATTTTCTTCCCCTCCCCTCCAATTCTTTTGATGATCAAATAGATGAATTTTTTCTCCTTTCCTCCCCCCGCTTCCCTTCTTAACTCGAACATATTTTTAGAGCTTCCACTAGCACCGCCAAGCATTTGAGCAATTGCCTAAAACCCTATGTCAGGAACAAGTGTTGCAACCACAAGAAAACGAGTGATAAATCCTCAAAATCCTTTTTGCTTTGTTTTTTTATTCTCGTTTCCTAATGCAATCTTCTCATTTGTTGATGAGTTGTGCCACGTAAGATTTGGTATTGTTGTAACAAAAGTAAGATAATGTCATCATCTGTGCAACAACTATCAAGTTCTGTTAAGAACTTTGGTTTGTGATAAAGACATAAGTTGCCTGTTTTAAAACCCCTCTATCATATCCTCATTCCCTTTCTCTTCCTACCATCCTCCAATAATAATTCTTTCCTTCCTAACCTGAATATCCTGCATCCGTTCATCCACTTCTCTAGTTGATGGCTCTAGGTTTATGGTTAAGGTAGGATCACTTCCTTATCAGTTGCCACTCGGTTTTGGAGCTATTCCCGTCAAAAGGAAAGACCTCCAGAGGAGAATGTCGATTAAGGTTGCGAGGAACAAAAGGGTTTTCTCTCTAAAATTCTCTCACATCTCTTTGCCATCTTCTTAATCTAAACCATAAAGTATTACGTCTTTGTTGGGGCTTGGAAACTATGTTTTATGAAAAACTAATCAGGTGTCTTTATTTAATCATCTTTAGATTTTGAATATCATGATTTTGAGGGTTTTAATTTGTTTAATTGTGATTGTCCTTAAGTTGCTTTTTGTAGGTAGTGGTAAATAAGGTTTTTGCTTAAGGCTTCAACAACTACTTTTTGTGTCATTTTCCATGGGAAAGAATAATCAGATTTTTTTAAAATGTAATGAACAACAAACTAACAATTAGTTTTGGCATACTATATATTGTATTTATTTATTCTTCAATTTTTTTCATGTTCTTTATTGTCATGTTCCCAAGCAAGGCACGAGTATTATCTAGTACAAAAATAAAAACTAAAAACAAAAAATTAAAACTTAAAGGAAAAACTTAAAACTAGATTAAACCAAGCTTTAGTTTTCTGAATTTGTTTAAGCATTTTAGTTATAAACAAAACAAATATTAAATACAAATTTGAGCAAAGCCAAGCTATATGAGGGTAAAACTTCATTATAGGAGCCATATGTGAGCTTAGCATGCAATTCTTTAGGCTAGGTGCCCTTTACTTTTTTAGTTGGGTAATGCCTATTGATGCATTGATAGTTTGGGGCTTTTTGTCTAGGAAATGAAGAAGCAGCCTAAAAATCTAGAACAATCAATGAGTGTAACACCCAAAATTCATATTACAACCACTCAACATAACGATTCAAACACATCTCTTAACAAAGAGCCAACACACCATAAGAGAAAAGTACACAAACCACGACAACATCCCATGAAATTAATCAGACCAAGTTCTAAACACAAGAATATCTTATAAGAACTCTAAAACGAAAAATCAAACTTCTGGAAAAGTGAGGCATCTACTTTACCACAACAACGAATATGTGAGGAGGAGTTTCTGCGTCACTTTTTAAAAGGGAGGAATGCGTGTTCCTCAACCATATCAAGCATACTGCTTTATCATCTGTAGTTCTGCACAACAAATCATTGTATATTGAACACATATCCATATCTAACTTTTTGATATGATATGGAGTACCATGCTAGATTCCCCATAAGCAGTAGAGACAACAATCCAAGAGTCTATGAACAATAAAGTAACCAATGAAGAAAACAACATAAAGACCTCGGACGAACAAATACTTGAGTCCAAAAGGGATAAATAGGGGAGTTGTGAACACCGTCAGAACAATAATAAAGGCGGCTTCCACGATAATCATAACAGTGACATAAGTAGAACCCAAACCTCTAATTCCTATCAACATAGCAAACCCGAAAGCATTGCAAGTGGCGTACAGGGCACCCCCTACCAAAATTGATGCTTTCCACACGAAGAAAGCCGAAAAATTGACATCAACAAGTTCAACCCAACATAAGGTGATGGCCGCGAAAATGGAGAGGTTCATAGCTAAAGTGTCAAATAAGGTGAATAATTGTAAGTATGTCAAGTCTAATTTATCTGTAATGAAACGCATAAACCAACCGTGTAGGGAGAATCTGGGTGGGGTTGGGGTTGTGGCTGGGGCCGGGGCCGGTACTAGGTTACCATTGCTGCTTTCGCTTTTATTATTTTCATAGCTAGGCATTTGAACTGCAGCTTGAAAGGCTATACTAGCAATAACTGTTGCAACGATGAGGAGAGCATCGATCCTGTTCTTGATATCCTCCTTATGTGCTCTCTTTATTTTCATTTCTTGACGACGAGCAGCACATGAGATTTTGAATAGGTGTAATAAATATAAGATAGACAATGTCATCATCTGTGCAACAATGAACAAGTTTTGTTAAGAAATTTTGTTTATAAAGAATCAAGTGAGATTTAAAATATATATGCTTTTATTTACCAGGATGCACTCTGACGTTACAACCATGGTATCGGTTCATGTTTGGTTTCATAAAATAGTTATTTCATCTATATTTCATCAAGTATGAAATAACCATTTTTTGAGTGAAAGAACTTCTCCAAAAGAACTTACCGAGCCAACTGAATCTGGTGGTTTTGTATCCTTTGAAGAGACAATTTGATGCTGCACATTTGTTTGCTCATTGCCTTGTTCATTTTTCTGCTCATTGCTTTGCCCATCGTGCTGCCAATGTATGTGTGAAGTATATTAAGAAAAAAGCAGTCAAATAAGCATAGATAAGATACTACCAAAAAGTATATATATGGTACTTTCATAAAAAATATATATATGTAGTACTATTATATAACATCACAACAAATCCTAAATTAGAAAGGGTTCTATATGTAAACTTTATAAAATGTAAATGGATGCTGTTATTTGAAACATTACCGCATGCCAAACCCTCCCTACATTTGATTTCTCATACCCCGGAAAGTAAATTTTTCATGAATCTCCTAGTCTTTGTGCCAACGGTTTGCCTTTAAATATAATATGCTTTCCCCAAAACATAAAAATAAAAACTACCTAATAACATACCATTTGTCTTCTAGAGTCCACTTGATCCCCGGCTCGCTCCTTAGCAACTTCATAGGCTGTCAAGCCTGCCTTATTTAAAATTTGGGAGTCACATTTCCTAGTTAACAGCAGAGTGCCCACAACTAGAGAATGACCGTGCATAGCTGCCAAGTGCAAGGGTGTATTCCCCTCATTGTCTTTGGCGTTTACAAGTTCAGGCCAAAATTTTTTATCTTTGACTATGCATCTCACCATATAATCTTTGCCATTCCTGGCCGCAACATGAAGAATGTTTTGGCATTTTTCGTTGAGGAATTCTGATGTATCAGGCCACTGGCAGAACAACCTGTTGAATGCTTTGACATAACCGCTTTCACAGGCAACATGCAGAGGATAGAGGCCCTCATTGTCCCTTTCGTATATTCCCTTGGGATAATTTTGTAACAAGAAATCTATTGCTTTCAAGTTACCTACTGATGCTGCACAATGCAGCGCTTTCTGCCCTTTCTCATTTGTTGAGTTTATTAACTCTGGTCTTTTGTCTAGCATTCCTTTCAACATATCTGAAATACATGGCAATACTTGGAAAAATGCTACACAAACAATCTTATGTGACAAAATGAAAGGGTATCACAAAACCAAACATCATATCTAATATGATTTTTAAAAGTCAGTCATATCATAATATAAAAGAAAAAAATGTGAAAAGCCAAACTTAGAGGCTGTTTAGTTGTCCTAACTTTCTTACAAAATTTTAAATGCTAAATTTAAATTTTCCCTCAAACAAAATTTCAAAATTTGTGAAAAAAAAATTACTTAAAATGCATAAATATATGAGGAAATAAAAGATGTGTAATTTACCAAGTTTCTTTTTCTCAATGGCAGCATGCACCGGAGACTTTCCTTCTGGTAGTTGTGGGTGATCTCCAGCTGTAGGTAAAGGATATTCCAAGAGACACTGAAGAATCTTCAAATTGGTGGTTTCAATTGCCAAGTATAAGGGAGATTTCCCCTCACTGTTAGCAATATAGGCTAGTTTGGGGTCTGCAAAAACCATCGATTGGATCACAGCACGGTAATTAATCTCCATTCCAACATTGTTGGAAGCAAAGTTGTAGTGGATCACAGCCTCATTCAAAGCAGTATTTCCTTCTAAGTTCTTCATCCTCAACAGGTCGGTAACACTGTCTGTCGAGCAAGCAGCGGGATTAGTACAAAATTGGAGAAGAACTTCGGTTGTTTCTACCTTTCCAGCTTTTGCGGCAGAATGAAGTGCAGTATCACCGATATAGTTTTTCTGAACAATTAAGTGGGGAAGCTGCTGAGCCAGCCATCGAGCTACGCCTTTGCTACCAAAGCGTGCAGCTATATGAAGGAGTGAGTTCCCACCAGGAGTTACTTCGTTGTTAATGATCTGTAATGGAAATCTGGTCAAGGCTTCGACATCATTGCTTTTTGCAACTTCATACAGTGATCCTTGGAATGAATTGTCTTCAATCTGCATCATCGTCATTGCATTTAAGCAAGGAAAAAAGAATCGGATTTAGAAACTTAATTTTTGTAGGGAGAAGTTAGTTAATTTAGTTAGCCATTACAAAGTTTTAAAACTTAATTTAACTCACATTCAAAGTTTTTGAAATCTCAAAATTCCTATTAAGCCTATGCGAGAGCTTATGATGAACAAATATAACTTTTTTGTAAAAATGTTGAATCATGATGTAAAATAATGCAACAAGGCAGAACTTACTGGAATCTGCAGAGGTTGTTGATTCATTTTTGAACTGATGACGGTATCGAAGCATAAGTCTTCACCTTTTTATAACGAAGTAAAAATAGCATCAACATTGGAGTGGAGCTTACTTCAAATTCACCAGCATAATTGATTCCTAAAGGGAGGCATGGGAACAAGCTTGGTTATGTTTTTAAACTTGAACCAGAGGTCAAACCGTTTTGATCTTTGGTTCGTAGTTTGAATGGTTTAACTTGTTTAACCGATAAAACCGTCAAGTTAATCAAAATACTATACATATATTATTATGCAAAAAAATTTCACATGATACTAATTAGTTGCAATGGTAGATAATTGATTTATTATAAAAGAAATCATAAGTTCGAGTCCCTGTGGAAGAATCTTTGTTGTATAACATGAAGAATGGGTGTTCGATTTTCAAGATTATCATCAATAATTTGATTAAAATCAACACAAGGATATTGTTGTTAT